ATCTTAATGCGCAGGCACTAGTTCCACGTATTGTTGAGTTTTGTAATCATTTTCGATTTTTGGACTATGACATTATTGCTGTTTCTGAATCAAGTATTGTTGATGCTCAAGTTAACCTTCCTGAGTTCTACTTATATTTTTACAAAATATTGTTATTATGAGTGACTTGAATATAAATAAGTTAACTAATACTAACTTGTCTGCACATTTGAATAACTTTTGTAACTTATATAATCTATGCAATGTTCTATTTAGTGCTACACATCATACTGCAATATAATTCATATTCTTTATTTTCTTTTGTTTTATGAACTAAAGTCATTAGATAGTAATTTGGATAGACTTTGTTTAGAGACAACGTTATTTTTCTTATTTCTCAGTATTATTGTCTTATTATTTTATATCCATTACTGTTTAACTAATTTTATTATTACTATGTATATATTTATATATGTAAGGCCCTTAGGGAGCTAAGGCTTCAGGGTCTAAAAATTTGGTAAATAAATAATAATAAATAAATAAAGTCTAAAGTAATATTAAAACTTATCTCTTGCATTTTTTTAACTAATAAACATTTGTAAAAAAATAGTTTATTTTTATCAAAACACAATATTAAATAACATAAATTATATAAATAATAAACCGTCACACTTCGTTACCTTATAGATTTAGTTTATGAGAATGATGAGATGTGCTTCACCTCATCAGTTTTTTTTTTTTTTTTTTTTTTGAAAAAGATAATTTTTATTGGTCACATACAGAGATACATATTAAAACAAGATTAAAAATTACTTAAAAAAACTTGATAAATATTATAACTAAATAATGCCATGCTACTCAAGGTAGATCTCAGCATTTACAATATAAATAAATAAATTATTAAGTTGACAATATTTGATCACCTTATCGGTCGTACAATGTAGGGGTTAGTTATCGGTCTGGCAAGCGCGCGGCTCGGATTCGAATCTCGGTTAGAACGGAATACGATTTTCACTTTATTTCTATAATAAGCGATAGTTAGGTCTAAATTAAGAGTCAAATAGTCTAAACTTGCGTTAGCTCTACATCAAAATCAAACTAAAAAAATGGCGCTTAACAATTATTTTTTTTATAAATTTTGAATCAAATGGCATGGGACAGACTTAAAAATAAACTATGGCCCAGTCCTGGTATTATTATTATTAATATGATCATTATAAAATACAATCAAGGCGTTCAAAATCGGACCGAATTTTTATTTCTATCTGATCGTACTTTGGACTCCAGAGTGGTAAAAACGGAAATTCGTACCACTGTGGAGATCAAAATACGATCAAATTTAACATGGGAATTGATCGTACTTTGAACTCCCTGATCCGAAGTTGATCGGACCTTAGGAGGATCAAAATACGATCAAAATTTCGACTCGGGAATCGATTTTGAAGCGATTTACAAAATTCAATGTAGTTAGCTGAGCACAAAAATTGTGTGTATTACATACCTAGGTTATTAAAATAAGAAAAGTCTCAGATCACATGTAATTGTTGTCCAAGGTGAAGTCGGTGAGTGATAAAAGATGTAATTCAATCAATATATTAAATTTCCTCCATACAAATTCTTATACCGTTAAAAGTAAAAAGGTCGGAGTATAATTAATTACATAAACACCGTTTCTCGGATTTTTTTTAATGTTGCAGGTAAAAAATGATGCAGGAGTATTTTAATCCCATTTATTTATGAAAACGAAATAGTCTCTTTTATTTGAAGTAACAACTTGTTGATATCTATAAGAATGAGTTTCTTTGAAACTTGAAAACTCTTTCAACATTTTTTATTGTTCCTATCAAAATAAATAGTTACAAAAATGTAACGGGATACAAATCTAATATTTATGTTAGATAAATTCAAGATAATTTTTTTGTAAAGTTGATAACAATTAAAACACATTCAAGGAGCTTAGCAGTTATTTCTTTGTTATTAATAATTTAATTACCAAATCTAAAATTGGCGAAACAGTTGATTTTCATTCAAGTCGACCATCGGGCACAAGTTGAATTAAAAAATCTCTATTATTTACATTGCTAAGATCATCAATTATCTAATTATTTTAATTGGACACTATATAAAGATCGAAAAACATTTGTTGTATAATTAGTCTATTGACATTAAGTCTGTTTTAAATCAGTTTCAGCGATAGTTTAAGAAGGAATATTGTAATCCCTTTAATTTTTTTTTCACATCTGTTAATAATGACGCTCGAAAATGATAATTTAATTAACATATATTGATCATTTTTACAGCATCGTAATTGATTACCGAATTTCACTAGTAGTTTCATATATAACCGGAGTGAAAAATTCAAATGACATTCGGCTATTAGGTAAATCTTTGAGTTAAGTACATTTAAAAATGTTTTTTTACTGGTTCGGTACTTCATTGATTTTAAAACATTGCACTTAACCATCGATTTAGTTCTGCTATATTAAAATTGGTAACATATTTAAAATTCTGTGCTGGTTTTAATGCTTTTTCTGCACTGAGAAAAAAGTTAACTCGATTGACGAGGAAAAATCTTGAACCAAGTAAAATTTTTTCAGGGTGTTAATAAAAAAAAAAACTAAAAAATCCGTTCGACATATTAATCTATATTCCTTTAATCATATAAAAAACTTAGGGTGAAAAAATACAAAAATGAGTAATTTTTAACGAGAAAACAGAAGAACTAGAAGTAATAGTCTAGTGAATAAGTGAGGTTAAAATAACTCAAAACTTAAGATATTTCTTCTTTATTTCTCTGAATTAAATTTATAAAATTTTCCCGAATCGGCAAAATAAGCCTAAAGAAGTCTTCATGGGAATTCTTAGTTGTTTTTTGAGAGATCAAATATTTTGTACAACTCAAAACGCAATAGCGTGTAAGAGTACTCTTCTTTCAATAAACCGCTATGTGGCATAAATTTTCAAAATACAAGTGCTCTTATATTTTAAGTTATATTTAAAATCAAAGTCATTATTTTTATGGAGAAATTTAAAAACATTTGAAGAGAAATTTTCATTATAAAAATTTTAATAATACTTATTGTTATTAGTTTCAAATACATCAAATATATCAAGGAGCGAGAACTCCAGGTTTTGTTGACTAAAATATGTTCTAATAGGAAAGCTTGGTTTTTAATTTATCAAAAACATGTTGATCTGTCAAGAAGTACTAAAATTTTTTTTATAAGTTATACTCTTTTAGTAAAAGATGCTTCTACCTATAATGAGTAGTGGGAAATCCCCATGAGAGTAAAAAAAATTAAAAATTATCCGGCGAACGTGAGCTGTATCTATAGATATACAGTTTGCATTAAGCTCATACTTTTCAATTCTTTTCATGTGAAAAAATTTTCTAATATGGCAATACATAATCGGATGATATCAAAAAATTAATTATGCCCATATCAGACCGTATAGACATACCAGAAATTTTTGTGACCATATATAGCATATTAGGCCACATCAGAAATTTTTTCACGGGTTATAAATAATTTTTTTTTTAATCAGGGAGTCAATATTTGTAAACCTTCATTTGATATGAATTAGTTTCATATTAAAATTGGGTTTAAAGAAAACATATTAAGTTTCTATATACAGAGAAAATTATATAATTGTGTTTACTATGCTAAAATTTCAATTCCAATCATCTAGAATGATTGAACGTTTTTCAGTGCAAAAATTAGATTAGATTAGATTTATTAATTTATGCCAAGGCACAACAGCCAAATGGCAAATATAAAACAATTCAATATTTACAGTATTTACAGTGAAGTAGAGTCTTAAAATTAAATTAATCTATATAAACTAAACGAATTTATTACTCTACGTACGAAAGTAAGATAAATACTGAGGAAATTATAGCTAATATAGTTTTCATAATAGTAGTTTTAATAGTTTAAATAGTTAGTGTTTTATTTTTTTTTTAATAGAATTAATAATTATTTAAAGATAACTTCTGTAATAAATTTCGTAACAGTTACTATCAGGATAGTAACAGTTACCATCCGGATAACATTTACTATCAAGGATGGTAATTAATATTATTGAATGCTGTGAAAAAATTGATCGAAAATTCAATAATTTCCAAGTATTGCTGCAAAATTGTAAATTTTCGAATACAAATATGATGACAAATATACTTGAGTTTTATTTATAAAATTTTTACAAGAAAATGACAATTTTTTAAAAGTTAAAAAAACCAGTATTAAAATTATTTATGTTATAAACTCTTCATCGTTCGTCCAAACTCTGCAGACAGTTTATTTTTTTTATTTTCCCAATTCATTTAATTAACCCATGCATATATAAGCAGAAACATACAATTTTGATTACCCAGATATAAATGTTAATGTCCGATTGACTAAAATAAAATAACTACACAAATTATTTCAATCAGAAGTTTAATTATCTTATCTCGGTCATAAGTAGATGCAGTGTGAAAACCAATAATAAAAATAATAAAAAACGTTAGAGGCAACGAAGTTTGGTTAATTTAATAGAAAGAACAGTAGTAAAGAAGAATTTTCTGCCGCATCTACAACACCGACGAAGGTCGTCAGGCAGGTGGTTGTTGGTCGCTGAATGCTGGAGAAAGGCTCCACGGAGACGCCATCGCCGGAGCAACTGAATGTTGACCGGCGCCACTTACTTTAGATCCGCGTGTTATGTTTATATCTTCTATACTACATCTTCTTATTCTATATCATACGATAAGTGATCTTATCCGTTGATTGTACGTCCGAAAGACATTTAAATGTTTTTATATTTTATTTGTCTCTATATCGAATTTAATTAAATTAACGAAGTTATTATTTTATTTTTTTTTTTTTTTTTTTTTTTCATAAAAAATCTTCGAAATAATTGAATCGAGAAATGTATAATATAAGAAATAAACAAAAACATAAATATTTGTATTATAAGTACGTGAAATTGAATAATTATAAATTATTGATGTAAAATGATAAGCTTCGTGTGTTTAAGTTATGATTAAAAAACGTTTTTCCGAAGAACTGGCGGAGTTAGAAAAATTAGCGCGGATAAGAAAATTATATTTATCTGATTATACACTACTAAAACGAAACCCTAATCTATCTCATATAGTTCATGCAGCATTACATTTATCACAATGTGTAAGTTAATATTTTTTTTAACCTCATTTTGAAGTTTCATTTTATTGTACGTGTACATCCAAAGTAAAGTCAGTAATTAAATATTTATTATCAATATTTTGAGTAAAATGTTATAAATATAAATTTATATTTCATGTTGAACAACATCGAAAAATTAATCGTGATTTATTTATTGAATGATATGAAATAATAGGAAATGAAGAAAAAAGTACGTATAACGAGGACAATTGTATCGGATTACATAATTGAATTGTGTCGTCGTATATTGCTCTTTTTATATCTATAAATGGATATACGTGTATAACTATTAACATTAATCACGCGCGAATGAAATCACGTTTGAGGATGTAAGCGCATTGCGTGAATACAATAAAAATCAGGCCTTTTTGCTTTATGAAAGAAATTATCTTGTGAAATGTGCTATGATTCCATTCTTTTATCCGAATTTTAAAATTTAATTTTTATTTCTATTCCATTTATTACTTTATTCTATTTAACCTTCTATCAATTTATTTTACTTATATCTTTTTTTTTAATGTTGTCAACAAGAAAAATAAATTTATTAATTGAGTGATCGTTTAACAATTATAAAATAACCTTATTTATACTATTATAATAGTAATATTGAGTTTTAATTAATCAAAAGAATTATTTAATTGATTACAGATGGTAATAACGTCTACAGAAATATTTTCTCACTTATATCATGAAATCCATAGACGATTAAAACTAAAGAATCCTTATTTACCCAGCCTTGATGGTGATCGTGATACGTTACTAATTATCAATATACCACTTAATTTAGTTATGAGCTTGGGTTTATGTTTTATGTGGCTGTGTGCTAAAAAATTCTCAAAAAAAAATGAAATCGTTAGTTGATTTACGTTTCACATTGGAGATCGGGGTGACAAAGCTTTTTAAAGATAAATCATTCTTATTTCGGATGTCTAGATCAAGGCATATCTGTATTAATGTTTAAATTTAATAAAATTAAATTTTTTACAAACTAATAAAACGAAAAAGTCTAAAAATAGGACTTTTTTGAATTGTAGATCTTTTAAATCTCTTTAAAGTACTATTTATCCGTAATCGAGCTTACTAAACTCAAAAGTGACTTTCTAGACATTAAAAATTATTCTATTTAGTGTAATTAGAAGGTTTTTAGATCTAGTAGAAATGATAAGAGTTAATTGATAAATGAATTAAATTTTGTGAATTATTTCTACTGCATCTTCTGTTTTCGATAGCGTTATGAAGAAGAAAAGTCAAAATTATAAAGATAGAGAAAATAAAAAATTTTTAGGTCAGTCTATTGAAGAAAACTAAAAAATATATATTTTGTACACTTCGGTAATATTACTTTCAAAAATTTATGTTGAATGTCATAAGAACCATTTGAGTTTAGTTGATTTATTCGAAAAATATCTATCAAAAAATTTCAAATTTTTTTTTATTCCTATCTGTTCAAATTTTTTTTTCTAAATACTAAAAAATAGCTAAGCATTTTAGAAAAGAACGTCGAAATTGATAATTTTTCGAATTTTTACAAAGCATTCTAGATGTCCGACTAATATTTTCTATAAATGACAAAAGAAACTTATCTTATACTTTTTATATGTTTATTTCACTTTGGCCTGATCTCTTTCTTTAATAAATAACATGCATGTATTAAAAAATCCTATTTTTCTTTTTTTAAGTCTTTCTGTGGCTGTTTTATTGGTAGCATTTTGACATTAGTAACTGCGATCATGGTAATGAGACAATCCCAAGTTCAAATTAGTAATGCAGGAATTCACATCTCGGATGTCATTGATCATCCAATATTTATTCACGACTTCGTTACTTGTGTCTTATGTATTTTCTCTATGGCCTTATATCAATTACAATTTTGGATTCTCTTTGATTATTTACATTGGGTTCGTTTACTAAAATTTGTTTTACAACTAATGACTCAATATTTAATAGATTGTAAATAAATGTTGCTTGAAATTATAGAGATATAAACGAAACAAATTAGCTCATGATGATTTAGAAATGGACAGACGAGTCAATGAGCCAAGTTCTACATCAAGAGATACATCAACTTCAAGTAGCACATCAGTCACACTAAGAAACGAAGATCCTGTAAGTAATTTAATATGAATAACTAGCAAACTCGGAAAAAAGTACTCCAAAGAGACATCTAGCGTTTGATTTATTAACTCTGAACTCTGAACTGTTCAGATAAAACAGATCATCATTTTCTTCATTACTTAACTCGCTTCATAATATCAAATTTATTCAAAAATTATTGTACATTATGGGGGTATAGGGAGGAGCGGGGCAAAATAAGGCACTCAAAAAATTTTTTTATCCTAAAAAATCTCAAAATACTCAAAAATGTAATTGTAGGTCATATTCCCCTGTATAAGAGAAAACAAATTTTTATTTTTGAAAATTTAGCAAAAACATTTTTTTTCTGAACTGTTTCTAAAGAAATTTTGAACGTCATTGTGCATCATGAGGAATTTTTTTTTTTGGGTGAGATTTTTCTTTTTGAAAATTTTTTTTTTTTAAGAACAAATGATGAAATATTCTTTCTTAGCATTTTTAAAGGCCTTGAACACTGTTAAATTTAAGAAACAAATTTTATTCTCTTTATTCTTCAGAAGGTTTTGATTAATCGATTCGGAAAGACCTCTGAATAAACCGATCTACAAATTCACAGGACTATTAGGGGTACATATTGGTCTATAAAAATTATTAAAACATTAGCTTTCCAAACCATCAGTTATGATGCAATCAGTTTACCAAAACTTTTGACTTCTTACTTTTTAAGTTCACTTAAAACAGTCCAGAAAAAATTACCGAATAATTTGGAAATTCTTTCTGCTCCCTCAATTCAAAAGAAATGTATCGCTTCAGCTGAGAATTTTTTTTCTTTCTATGATTTGTTTACCTGTCTAGATTTTTTAGTAGAATTATTGATAAAAAAATTTTTTCAAGTTCATTTCATCGTTGGAAGATAATTTTTTTTTCACTTTTTTAAAAAGTACCTCATTTTGCCCCCAAAAAAAATTTTTCTGGCGGTAACTGACAATTTTTATCATTTACTATGAATAGAATTGAGAGAGAAAAGATTTAACTTATTTGAGTTTCTAAAAACAGAATTTCCTTAAGTATCCTGTTTTTGCCCACCCTTCTCTCGTATTTTATATTTTGAATTAACTTTGCTTTTAGATGGATATTAAAAACAATCGCATTAATTTATACTGCTGTTGTGTTGATTATTGGAAGTATTTAACAAGGCCGAGGCGAAAAAATCGAGTCAACTACGAGTTTCAAGTTACTTACATAATGTAAATAAAAATAAAAATTTTTGGTTGAATCAAATGAAATTGTATTTGTTTCTTTTTTGCACATATCATAACGCTAAGGGTGTGATGTACTATATTCTTGACTCGTCAAGGTTAAGCTATTTTTATAATTTTATATTTGCTTCTATCAAATATAAAATGATTATCAAAAAAACATCCGATGTCTATGAAAAACATTTAATTTAATTTATTATGAAAAAAATGATTGACAAAAAAATCATAGTGTCAATTAGTCTGTGTGTATAATGAAATAGTCGAGTCGCTAAAATATTAGATTTATTGATAAATTTTTTTTTTTTTTTTTTTCCAATTAACTTCAGAATCAACCCATGATTAATACCTAATTGGAAATATTTGACAAATTCAGCGTTTTTAAATCATAATCAATGTTTTAATCAGTAAAAAACTAAAATCGACAGATTTTTTGTAAATCTACATATTTATCTATAAATAAAGTTTAGTCAGTTGTAGCACATGTGCCTTGGTCCTCTGACTTTTAAATTAAAAAATGCCGCCAAAAATTTGAAACTGAAATTAAATAAAAATTTTTCAAATTATTCATGTAATACAAATATAAAATATGAACACTTTTTCTTTTTATATTTTAACAATAATAGCCATCGAGAATAACTTTTCTTTTTGTTTTACTTTAATAATTAAACGTCTGCAATACAGTTCATGTTTTATTGAAAATTGAATAAGAAATATGAAGTGTGCACTTTTGAGTTCTCTAAAATTTTATCTTTTTTTTTTTTTTATTAGTTTAAAAATGCATGATGAATAACAATGAATGCATGATGTCATAATAAAAATAATAGTAAATGAAGATATAGTATGATGTCAAATGATGCATGTAATAGCTAATTGAGTTTATATGTCATACACTTTTATTTTTCACTTAAAAGCATTATTTTATCGCAGTTATGTTGTTCTGCAAATCCTGTGTTTTCAACGAGAATTTTATTTATAGATATTACGTTTATTGTTTGTACATAAATCATTTTATTACTCATTATTATTATTATTTTTGTTTTTAGTTATGTATATTTTATCTCAACACTTTCTTATCAGTGATCGAATAAAATGTCAATGATTGGCGGTTAAAAAAAGTAGCATGATGATTTAATAAATAAAAAAATTTACTTTATACAAAAAAATTGATAAGTTTTTTTTTTTTTTTGTTAATGAATACTTAATGTCTGTGATGCACAATACTGTAACTATCAAATATAAAGAATGATTCAGAACCGTGAGTATATTCTTATACATGTATATATGTATGTGCTTACAATGAAGTAGTAACGGAGCGGTCGAAAGAAAAAAGAGGGAGAGATGCGTAAAAGCGTAGTAGAGGAGACTCCACCACTGTTTCACAATTGTATTGATGCCATTTGCCACTCTCTCTCTGGAGTGAATACAGTTAACACGGTTAAACATTGTCAAGTAATCGTCGGCATTTTATAGTAAAAAGTATATATTTTATAAGAGTACATACTTCTATTTTTTTTTTTTAAGATATAAGTTATAAATCTTTAACAACACTATTTTTAAATAAATATTCCCGCTCAACTATCACGTGGTAAGTTAACATTGTTTATTTAAATTTAGCTCGTTTAATTGTAAAAAACTTTATAACATTAACATCAAAATATTTATCACATCCTGTAACTATAAATAAAAAAAAACTATAAATCAAAATATATTATCTAAAAATTTTAATTTTATCGCGTTGCGTCGTTTGCGTACTACGTACTTCACATCTTTCCCATCCCATAAACTTAACGAACTTTTTGCTTCTCCAAAAATAAATATATTTCTTTACTTCACTCATTCCACACCTTAAAACTATTTTAATTCTTTATTGGTTTTAACTGTTGAAAAGTTAAAAATTAATATTTAAAATTTTATTTTGGTGTTTATTAATCGAAAGAATAGGTATTAGAGGTTTATTTTGAATTTCGTAAATGTAAAATAAATACTGGGTTAATGTAAATACCGCGAGTATAAAGTATATAGCTAAGTCAATGCACTGACACAATAATAATCTACACGTGTTGAAATTACTGGTAGAAACACAAAATACAACTCCAGCATCCGGTTACTTGAACAAGGGGATAGTTGTCTGTTTAAATTTGTCCATAAGAAAGTAGGTTAAAATTTTTAAGTATCATTACAACCGTACATATTATTTTTAACTTCCAACTTTAAATTTCACTTACAACTATAATTTTGTGTTTCTGATAAATTATTTTTTTATAAGTAGTCATTGATTTTTTTTTTTTCCCAAGCATACAATTGATTCAAAAAGTTTAAAAAAGTATCGATGATCTAGTAAAAGTAACGCAGCGTTTTGAGACTTTTAAGGACAAATCCATTTGATTTGACATTTTATAGATACGCCCACGTGTTTAGATGTATATATTTATTTTGATGATCAATTATGTCTTCTTACTAACCTTCGTTACATCTAATTATATTCAAATACTTTACACAACATGATTTAATTTTTCTTGTAAATCGTGATAAATTTACTTATATATTCGTAAGAATTTTTAAATTAATTTAGATTAATTAATTAAATTGATTTTGACTTAGCTAATTTATATTATTTTTTTACCAGAAAAATTAATATGGCATCCTTTACTAGACTTTCTGTGATCAGATTACTCGAACTGGTAAGTAAAATTGTTTACTTAATCAATTATATTAATAGTAAATTATACAGTACAAAATGCTCAATTTAAATTTAATTTATGGTATGGATAAAAAGGTATTTTTCCGCTAAAGCACAAATGGGCTTATTAATAACAATAAAATGCTCAAATATGCGGGAGTTATAAACATACGATGACATAATCTTGCATTCTTGATCGTTGAGGTTCATTGATTATAATCATGAATAAGTCGCTAAAAATGATATGAGTTAATATAAACGAGGCCTTGCGTGTCTTTAGCAAGGTGTAACTCTAATGAATACCAATCATTACACACCAAGTATGACATGATATTTTCTCTCCTTATTTAGTCATCATATTATCTTATACCTTTCTCATTAATTATAAAGAGTTGTATACTCTCACTTTAATGATTATCAAAACAGAAGTATTCACTTTTTTATTGTATTTATAATACACATTAGTTGTGTCAGCAAATTAGAATTAGAGTTTATCATAGAATTTTTCTGCTGAGCTAAAGAAAATTTTGTCAGGTGTAGCCCAAACAGAGTCTCAATTGCCACACAATGTATTTCAATTCTCGTACGTATTATTCAAATGGAATAACTCAACTATTTTTTACATGCCTTAATCGCATAGTGCCAAGGCTATATGCTACTTTCATCTAAAAATGTATTTATTTTTTTTTATTCGATTTATAAATTTTAAGTAAATTTATTAGGGGAGGGTGAGGCACAGCGCCCACTTAAGCTTGTTATTTCTTTTTGTGGTTTCTAACCATTAAATTTGTTTATTTCTCGTCTATTTCGAATATATCAGTCAAAATTTTGCTGAAAATCGAAAAAAAAAATTTTTTTCTGGGCCGTCATAGCCCACCTCCCAAAAAATCATATAAAAAAAATTTTTTTTTACTGAAGTCATTACTATCAAAATCTGGAGATTCTCCTCCCAAAAGAAGTCGTCGAGGGAAAACCACAATTTTTACAAATCTTAAGTATCACCAAGAACTCAAAGAAAAAAAAGATCAAAATGAAGCAAAAAAAAAGGACCTCAGTTAAACAAAAAAAAAAAAATAATAATAAATAAATCAATCCCAAAAAATTAAAAAAAAAAATGCTTAAAATGTAAAAATGATGATATCCATTGTCTTTATGCATTGGACTTTACTTAGAATCCACAGAGTCATGAAATCAGTGTAAAAATTGCAATAAAAAATGGTCTCATGATTTTTGCGTAGGTATTGATGAAGATTATTCCTACGAATATGTAGGAACACACACACACACACACACACACACACACACACACACACACACACACACACACACACACACACACACACACACACACACACACACACACACGGACACGGACACGGACACGGACACGGACACGGACACCAACCCGAGAATAGTTAGGACAGCTTTCTAGGACCTCAAAACGTCGAGATCTGATGAAATGACCCCTCGACTTTCGCAAAACGGGGTAAAACCAATAACTCCCTAAATTTTTAAAGATTTTCAATTTTTCTTAACTGTAAGTTAAAAATACAATACTTACTAATAGTTTGAGTGAAAATTTTGAGGATCATGCAAAAAAAAAAAATTGCAAGCTATTTCTTCAAATTTCGAAATTTAGTAATTTTTAAATGACTGTAACTAGCCGTTTTGTAGAGATAATCATACTTTGTCTTAGAGTTTTGTAAAGCGCAAAGGCTCTACTTTAAGAATATAAAATGTTTTTTTGCAAAAAATTGCATAAATTATATCGACGGTCTAATTAGCAATTTGTCTAACTCCTTATTTTTTAGAGGGTGATTTTTTAACATTTTGATGTAGCCATAATCCAATTATAAATTATTTGAATGATTCAAATCTAAATATTATATCTCTGTTAGATATTAATGATATTAAATGGTTTTTTCAAGTGATAATAAATTTTGAAATAATTGTTTTTTTCGTACAAATAGAAGATTCTCTAAAATGGAGTTAGACAATTTGCTAATTAGAACGTCGATATGTAAATTAAATTTAAAACAAGAAAGAATTTTTTCCATGTTAATTAAATGGAAAACTAAAATAAAACTAACAACGCCTTAGAGTTGAGCTATATAGAGCTCATGTTTGGTGAGGATTTTTTTTATATCAAATAGAAACATATGAGTGGGTAAGAGTTAGAAAAAAAAATTAAAAAATTTTTTTGAAGCACCCTAACGTATACTGATTATCACAATATTTCAATTTACGACAGTAAGAATACCGGATGCAAAATGACATGATCATAACCTCATTTTACTGACATGATTTAATTTTTTAATATGTATTGAAATCAAGAAAAATTGTTTAAATTTATTTTCTGAATATATATCATAAATACATCAGACATCAATGTAAACAACACAACACAACATACGCGGGAAAACTCGAAATTGACTATAGTATTACTACGCAAAAGACTCGTTGAAGTTGACTAAGCTCTTGACAAATCTTAGCAGATTTTGTATCAAAAACTAAAAGTGACTACATTCTCTCTAAAGAATATCTATAAGAAAACAATGCAAGGTATGCTAATCTAAGCTCAGTCCAGCTAAAAACTTAGTAAACTTGAACGAGCCCAAAGTATAGATTTCAAACTAAATTCGGTATTGCTCTGAGAACTATACTGGTATTCTGATAATCACAATACGTATTTTGATTATAAGAAAACTCTCTTGATAATACTTTGTATACTGATTATCACAATACTTATTTTTCAGTGTATATTTCAAAGTTCGAAAACTTCTTCAAATTATACATTTATGAATGAGCTACCTTAAAGTTCTTTTGCAGACGTTTGTAAAGTTAACATTGACACAATCCAGCATTGACCGGCATTATTAATGATTTCTAGGAATCTAATTAAGTAACAAAATTCTAATCAGAGCAACAAATTTATCACCACAAATAAATTATTTTGCTTGAATAATGATAAAGATACTGATGATCAATGTTGGGTGAGTCAATGCCAGCTTTACATGTGTTTTTTTCAGTAATATCTAATAGAAATCTATTGAAATTAAAAAAAATATAAATTTTTTAATGAAAAATTCTACTGCAATATGTCTTGTAATTATTTACCTGATTAACCCATGTATATTTCAAGTAACTAAATTTTTTTATTACATAGACAAAAAAATTTTTGTTTAAATTTATAAGGGTTAGTCCACAGAACGAATGTAAAAAATATCCACCTTCAATGTAATTATATAATTACATTTTACAGTGACCCTCCCTATGAAATTTATAGAGTAGATAACCATCAACTGAAACTACATTCTGTAAAAAATGAGGTTTTAATCTAATACGCGATTTCATCCTTATACATACCTAATTTAAGAACTACATTAAATTCTATCACTTAAATTAGATCTACTCAAGTTTCTATAAACATTTCAATGATCTAAAATTTTTCTTGTTGGCTTTTGAAATTCAAATTTTCACAATTTCAAATTAATTTTTTTTTACCGACGAAAATGATTTAAATTAAGTACTTAACATAGACTCCCTCTAAAACGAGAATTCAAGTTCTTCTTATAAATATGAAAAAATTACAACAAATCCCACGAGCTGACAATTATACAATATTAACCATTAACCCGTAATTCATGTATCAATTTAGACAGAATGAGTCGTGAGATGACGTATTCTGCAATTTCAATCCCTTTCAAGTCGTCTACCATTAGATCAGGCATGCACCGTGCTAAAGTGAAATATAAAGAATTACTTATTTAACCTTGATAATAAATCGTCGATTTCTTTCTATCTTCAACCGTACAGTATGCTGAAAGATCGCATTGAGACTTTAAGATCTCAATCGTACGACACATGCATGATATATGACTATTGACAGTATAATGTACATCATAAATAATTTCTTAGATTTTTCTTGATATGAGCAACATCAACCATTACTTAATATAATGTTCTCAAAACTTATGCAATTTTATTCTATTTTATTTTTACTTATAACCCATTACAATTCTTGATTGTTGAAAAATTTTATAATATTCAAGGACAAAGCCTCGGTGATGATAAAAAAAATATTTTAAAGAACTTTTTTGCATCAAAGCTTGATATACGAGCAGAGGGGTTAGCACAAAATGGGGTACTCCAAAAATGTTCGTAGATCAAGAAAGTTTTTGCTTTGTCTTTACTAATTTTTATCTTCATAAATATTTCCTTAAAGCAAAACATTCTAAAAACGATTACAATTTTTTTTTTACCATTCCAACTTTCTTTTCATTTTGGAAAGATTTTGCATAAAATATTCATACATTTTTCAGCGGATGAAAATTCTTGCAAAAAATAAAAATATATTGTTAACGACAGCTTAAAATTTGTTCTATTTTCTTTAAATACAATTAATAAAATAAGATTTTCTATATTGGATCATCGAAATCGAAAACTAAGCATTTCCTTGAGTACCTCGTTTCGCCTCCCCTCTCCCCTATATTGATCAATTAATTTTGAAAATTAATGAATATGGAATCCGTACTTTATCTGCAGAAAAAAATTTTCCCTCTATTATCATTATTTCAATCCTAAAAAATTGAAAATTTGTAAAATTAATATGGATATTAATTACTTGGAAAAAAATTAATTATTTTTTAATTTTTTATCAATAAGTCTTCTAGTATTTTAGTCTAGTATAACTTAGCAAATTATTGTCTTTAAGTATTCAAATACAAATAAAAATACTACGATTCATAAATAATTGACAGACAATTATCCGATAGACGGGTATAAGAATAGTCTTTAACAGGAATTAAAAGTATTATCATTGTCTACACTTTGTGTACTCGCACAATCGATGCAACTTATACTAAACTTAGACTAAAATTCATACACATTTTCATTATTTATATTTTATACATAAAAAAAATGTTCATTAGATAAAAGATATTCAAAATAAGAACTATTACTTTGGAAATCGTACAGATTATTATTTTCAACAATGATGATTGATAAGATAACACATCTAAGCATGAATATGTATAATTGTGTTTAAATTCATGCCGATATGTCTTGAAATTTTTTTCTAAAGTATATCACAACAAATTTTATCCATACAAAGGCTCGCTTCATTCGTCTTTTGTTACATTGATAAAAAATTAACTTTATTCAAGAGAAAAAATTTTTTTTTAAACAAGACAAAGAAGTTCTTTAAAATGATCTTTATGGTTCAAGAATATTTTTATTAAATCTAGCTAGTTTTCTTTCGAATATTTATGTAACCATACAAAATTTGAAATCCTTGTTCTTAAATACTGTGTATAAAAACTGTTGAAATACGAATTATTTGTAATTAAAACAAAAGTCTCTACAGTAAAAAATTTTTCGTCTTTGTGTAGAGTGTAAAAATTTGTGTATAGAATATTACACTTTAGTGTGTAGAATTTCACATTCTAGTGTGTTAAATCACCACATGAGAATGTTGAATTCTGCACACTAGAGTGTAATATTCTACACACAAATTTTTACACTCTACACAATGACGAAAAATTTTTTACAGTGTAGCGCATATAAGTATGAAAAACTTTAAAAAAGAAATCAAGTTGAATATAGTTGTATGTACTCGTAACCTGGAAAAATATTGAGCACAAGAATACAAACTATAAAAGTACTTATAGACGTTGCGAGGCAATAGATTTTATATTTGTATTTCAGGTCGTAGGCTGTACATACATGTATATAACAACAATATAATGCAGTATTTTTAGTAGAATAAAATTGATTATTCAAGTGATAAATTACAATAAATATAAAACATTCTTTTAGGCAATAGTATGCTGTATTATCGGGCTCCACTGGCATTCAGAAAATTTCGGTGACTTGCCCACTCGTTTTATATCTACCGGAACAGCTGGAGGATATCTCATTATTCTTGTTGGTTTGTTTGCTGGCGGTTTGATGGGAACACCAGTTAATCGACGAGTGGTACGTATTTTCATATTATAAATGATTAATTTGATTATTGGTATTAACATTCATAATAATAATAAAATTTAATTTATTTTTGTTAGGATTTGTTCTTCAGCCTAATCGGGTGCGCATTGTTCATCGCATCAGGAGCATTAGTAATCGATGCGTTTGATAAAGTTGGATACCGAAGCGCTGCGCGTGATCGAGGTCTAGCACGTGGTTCTTTGTGCATTATCGAAGGAGCACTGTTTCTCGTCGATGCCATTCTTACTTTCCGTGGAGAGGCTTAAAGTTATTCATAATTCATAATTTTAAGATTTAAAAATTAAAAATTTTACATTACGAATTGAGATTTAAAATTTTTTATTCAACCAAAAAGAACGGTCATTAATCTCAAATTGAATATCTTTAAAAGAAACTATTTTTGTCAAATTGAATTACCTATATTTTATAAAAATTTATTTGCATATTAAAATAATTATTATTACTAACTATAGATTATATAATAATATATATTTATATTATTAATTAAGTACAATGTATTCTACCTGACAATTGCATTATCAGTATATTTTATAGAAATCTAACTATTGCATCTGCCCTCATAACAAAACTTTTGGAAAATTTTGCTATTTTCTGACTCAGCTCGTCAAGTTGGTTCAGAAAATACACATGCTTAAAAATTTTATATATGTATGTATTTATACGATATAACGCGGCTTGTCACAACTATATCGTTCACAATTTTTATTGGACTCTAATGTAGCTCAACATAGTTATTTTTTGAACGATTATCGAGGTCAAGTTAGAAGATGAGCTAAATCGATCAATTGGTTTAAAAATTACAGCAATTCAAACTTTTCAAAAATTGAAAAAAATCAATTTTCTGTAAATTCTTCTTGAAATAACTTTTGAATGCAATAACTTATTGAATCTATGTAAATTGCATCTGAAAGTTCATAAAATAAGCTTTAATTTTTATGTTATTTAATACCGAATGACCTTTTTAAATTAAAGTTCTAAAGAACCAATTCCAAAGCAGCACTATTCAAATAATGTGAATAACGCATAGAAATAATTTAAGTTAAGAAGTTACACTAATTGAAAAATGGGATAGAAGAAAAGCTTTTTTGGCGTGATTATTAATTATGCAAATTATACTTTAAATTTTTGTGACACATAAATTTTTATTTCATATCAAATGGAGGTTGTATTTGGCACTGTAATTAGCAAACATCTGATACGTTTTTTGTTTCATTTGATTAACAAATAGTTTATAAAAACATATATTTTAGAAAATTATATAATAGTTTCTCAAAATGATTGTATGAAAAAATTGTTTTTATTAATTTTAATGTTACTCAACTTGTTAAAAAAACAAAAAAAATTGTATGTCCGTTAATTTAGTATCATTTAAAGTTCTACCAAACTCTGTCTCAGATATAAACTATAATTTAAATAATTTATTGTAAATAAGTTTTGAAGTATTCTCTTGTCAATGAACTCGAGCAATAATTTTTAAAAAATATAAGAGCATAACCAAACTCTGTCTCAGATATAAACTATAATTTAAATAATTTATTGTAAATAAGTTTTGAAGTATTCTCTTGTCAATGAACTCGAGCAATAATTTTTAAAAAATATAAGAGCATAATTATAAGCTTTCAAAAAATTTTTTCTTTAATTTTGATCTTATAAAGATGGGTAAAATAAATTTATAAAACATTAAACAGTCATATGAATCGGAAGAAATTTATTTTATGTCAGTATTCAAATTATAAGTACATGATCATTTCATTGTTTAAATTTTCATACTTAAAAAACATACTTCAAATTATGTATCGTCATGCAATGCTAATGTGAACTATTAGATGGTATTTTTTTACAAAATATTAATGTTAAAAATTGAAATAATTACGTCATAAATTTTTAATTCATAAGTGCCATTTTGATATTTTAAACTATGCATTAAATTAATATTTAATAAAGAAATAATTTATTTTAAAAATATATGTCGCTATAATCTTCGCTTTACTATTTACAAATATGTATGATCATATGTTTACATACAATATTTTAGATTTCGTATTTTATATAATTGATTTATAAGAGGAAAATCAATAAAACAAATATTTCATCATTATTTTAACAATTTTGAAATTATTATCTTTAAAAAAATATCATGATAAGCTACATTTTTTCTCACTTTCAAACTTTATAGAACTTCGTTCATTAATCACTGGAGATAGTGTTCAAACAATTTTTTTTATTACCTTTATAATTAAGTTCTTAATTATCTTTGTTATGATTAATTAAATAGTACACTCATGGTATTTTAAGTGATTGTTGATAAAAAATATAAATCGAAGTAAACTTTATTCGCTTCCTCAAACAAAAATGACTGATGTTGATAAAAATTTTAATATTAAATTATATAAAGATCAATTTTCAAAAATCAGTGAAATAATTTTAGAAGAAATGAAATTTTTTTGTATTTACCATTTGTCAAAACCTAAGCCCGTAATAATGCATTATTTTAAATATTTTCTTATTCTCATTGCAAATTTATTTCTTAAGTAAAGCCAAAAAATGGTGAGATGTGTACTGATTTTAAGAGTAGGGTAGATTTTTCTATTTAGAGGAATATTTTGCATTCAAAATATTAGAAGCAAAAATTATGGTTTTAAAAACTCATGTAAAATTATGATTATTATAATAGACCAATGAAGAAATATAATATCAACTATCAAGAATTAACGACAGCTAAATGAGAATAGATTTAGGTACGAAGTTCTTCGAAATTATGTTCAAGGATATTTTTGTGTCGTTCAAATAGTAATTTCACGTTTTATTAATTGATGGAACTCAAATTATCGCAATACAATGAGAAAAAGGCTTACCGTCTGATTATAAAATCTTACAATACGTAAAATGAATTTGAAATAAATTCACTCAGGAAGCTATTATTTTCAGTCAAATTTCCATGAATTTATTTTTCTCAATATTTAGAAAAAATTCTGTTTACTTAACATGATTTTAATCATCATCAGAATATGCTGCATTTACTGATAAAAATTCAGAATAAATATCAGCAGCAAAGAAAGAGAATAAATATTAAATTTCTTGGAGCTATAACTATAATTATAAACGAAACGAATATTAGCCTAGAGATCACTTTTTAGATGCAACTATAGGTCAATAATATGTAGATCATTATTATTTATTAAGTACTCGGCGTAATATACCCTAAAATTCCTGTAATATATCTCACCTGTAATTACCACACTTCAGTACATTGATCGTAAATTTTTGTTTAGTAATATAAACTTCATTATCTTTATCTTCTTTTTTTGGTGTGATAAAAAGAGCTTGAGAAATTCCATGATAAAATTTAAATGTTATTAGGTGTAATGTCACTTTATTTTCGACAGTGAGCTCTAAGTAACGTACTAATCATTAAAAATTGTGAATCTGTTAATATAAAAGTATTTCTACGAAATATAGAACAAATATTCAAAAAATAAATTTGAAAAATGGACAATATGTACGCTATAGACAGAACTATTAAATTTGGTTATAACAAAAATTTGTGGATGAAATTTTTTGTCGTTAAAATTTTTGAATACGTAAGTAAATAAATATCAACACGCATAATCGATTTAACTGTGATAATTTAAGTAATATTCATAATTATTTGATTTTAGATAATATTATGGTCTATGATAGGAATACACTTATCTTCTTCGGCTTATGGTGATGTTTTTTCATGGGTTTTTCTAATCGTTGGAACAGAAATAGGATTCTGTATTATAATTTCTGTTTTACTTTTCGGTGGATTATTCAAAACTCGTGTACACCGAAAAATTGTAAGTTGGTAAACATAATTCTTTAAATAATACTAATAATATCAGTCATTTATAATCAATATATTGTTATCTATTTTTACAGCACGGGCTTCTTAATTTGATTGGATGTGTTCTATTTATTATATCCGGAGTGAGAATAATTTATGTTTATAAAGTTCAATCAAACAATTTTCAAGATAATTTCTTGAATTACTGGCCCAGTTTAGACTTCTTACATTCTATTGACTCCAAAAAATATGAAGCAGTTATTAACAACTTCAAAATCATCTTATCTTCAGCTATCGACGATAATAATATGAAAAATCAAATTAGACAAATGTTCGTATTCGGATTTGCACGAGGAGTTCTCAGCATAATTGTAGGAATATTATTACTTCTTGATTCATTTCTTGCTTTTAAGGAAATCTATTGATAGTTTTTGTTTGTAACACAAATTATTAGTATGAAGTATTTTTAATTTTGTATAGCTAATTATAATATTAAAAAATTTTATCAGTATTTTATAAAAAATAAATTAGTTTTTTATTTGATTGAATTATATAAAATATAAGAAAAAAGGCACAGAGTTATCTTCGAAGGTTGATGAGATGAAGAGAAACATGTATTTTTAGATCTTTAAATATATAATATATATATGAAAAATTGATATGGGTACTCAAATGAAAGGTCTCGATGAGTGTAACATCGGGATGAGCTTATATCTTTAAAAATGTCAATAGTTTTCAAGGTACAAGGTCATTTCTTAATAATGTGTCTGGAGATAGAGTATTTTTGAATGCAGCCTAAATACTTATAATAAATTGAATGTATATAGATGTCCCAAACAACCCAGAACAATGTGTTTGACGCGCATTTGATGACACACGTTTTAGAATTTTTACCCTAGGAATTTTCTAGGGGACAATAATAGGAGACGAAAAGAAGTGACTCGCTGATCGAGTTCAAGAAGTTTGATAAAAATATTTTGTTATAGGTATGTATTCTTAACAGCTAATCTTAAATTATAAAAATATAAAAAAAAGTAAATACGCTGAAATTTATAAAGAAAGTGTAATTTTATTTATTTTACAAGTAAGTAAATTTTTAATTTATTAAAATGTTTATCTTAATTATACACCAATTAATTAGTTTATTATTTTTTTAATTGTAAATTATAGCTCGAAAGTTATAACAAAAATAATTTTTTATTTAATAATGCCTAGTTAAAATTAATGTTAAAGTAATGTTTGTACTTATAAATAATAAATATAAATATAAATATTATAAATACTAAATATAAAAAAGACTTATTAACTCTCAGAGAAATATTCATCAATATATTCAAACTGAGTATTAAATATTTCCAACTCATCATCATCTAAAAATGTAACAATTTGTTGGCAACACGAAAATGGCAGCGTTTTTAATAAAACAAAAATTTTTTCCGAAGACTTCTCCAGCAGCTTGCTCCTCTTGATGGCAGCGTTGACGCGTCTTCGAATCCGACACATGAAGAGACGATATTCCGTATCATAATCGCGGAAACATATTTCTCTGACATCTTTATTGTAGGCATAATTAATCAATTGACTCCATGAAGCAGTCCACAAGTGGAATAACGATATTGTACTTGTTCCAATTTTGTGTTCTTTCATCCTTTGAATGCACATGTATACATCGTAATCTATAGATTTAACTAAATTTTTATATTCTGATAGGTCCCAAAAATCATTGACAGGTTTTGAGAAAATAGTTCTCTTCCATTGTTCATCTATCTTTTTAACGCTCCGGTCTCTTCTTATTATCCCACAAATTAAGTGACTCTCTATGTCCATGAATACTCTTTTTAGTTTAACCATAAATTCTTGGTCCTCGAGTTGTTCTTGTGATAGCAAGGTCATATCTAATTTAGCTGTTTGAAGTATTTCTTCATCTACAAGCATGTCAAACCTAGCACTTTCCACTAAATAACAAACTATAAATTTTTCTCCATGAATGATAGCCATTCTCAGGAATTTGAGTTTTGTACCACTAGATTCTGCTGTTTCAGTGATATTAGCTCCAGCATTAATCAGGGACTTTAACATCAAGGTCTTCGACTTGCAATCTCTTTCAATTATATCTAAATTCAGACAAGAATTGACATTATTTGGATTACAAATAATGTAATATAATGGTAATTTACCATCCTCGTCGCGGTCATCAATCCTGGCGCTTTTCTTCAACAGCAGATCAACTATTTCTGGGGAGTTTTCTTCAATCGCCAGCATTAATGGAGTTCTCTTTAACGATTTTGTCCTGTAATGAATGTCGGTTGTACCACGAAATCTCCCTGGACAAAATCTCCCCGACAAAATCTCCCCACGACAAAATCTCCCCGACATAATCTCCCAACAACAAAATCTCACTAAGAAAATCTCTCTTAACTAATTTTAAAAATTTATTATAATTTAAATATTTTATGATTATTTTATTACCTTTGCTTGTGACCGTGTTGCGCCCTTTTAACATGGTTTTTGTGTGTGTATATTCGACATTAGACCAACACAAACGCGGATAATCGTGTTGCGCCCTTTTAACATGGTTTTTGTGTGTATATATTCGACATTAGACCAACACAAACGCGGATAATCGTGTTGCGCCCTTTTAACATGGTTTTTGTGTGTATATATTCGACATTAGACCAACACAAACGCGGATAATCGTGTTGCGCCCTTTTAACATGGTTTTTGTGTGTATATATTCGACATTAGACCAACACAAACGCGGATAATCGTGTTGCGCCCTTTTAACATGGTTTTTGTGTGTATATATTCGACATTAGACCAACACAAACGCGGATAATCGTGTTGCGCCCTTTTAACATGGTTTTTGTGTGTATATATTCGACATTAGACCAACACAAACGCGGATAATCGTGTTGCGCCCTTTTAACATGGTTTTTGTGTGTATATATTCGACATTAGACCAACACAAACGCGGATAATCGTGTTGCGCCCTTTTAACATGGTTTTTGTGTGTATATATTCGACATTAGACCAACACAAACGCGGATAATCGTGTTGCGCCCTTTTAACATGGTTTTTGTGTGTATATATTCGACATTAGACCAACACAAACGCGGATAATCGT